ACAACAAGATTGTTAAAGTGTGTTTGTTTCTTACCAGGACTGGGATCAATGTTGGCCAGCAGTTCAAGGTGGGGACGCAACCTGTTGAGGTTGGCGGGGTCTCCGGTCCTCTGCAGCGCAATCGTCAGCTCCTGGACGCTCTGAGCAAAAGACGCCGGGGTCTGCAGCTGTAAAAAAAAAAAAAAAAAGCACATAAAAACAGAGTTAGTGCTGTGAGAGGTTTAGAGACAGAACAGATCTCTTTTGTAGGAGTGAAAGACTGCAGCGTGTAGCATACCACATGCATAATCTATTAAATGTGCCTTTAAGTGGGAAAAACATGACATACAAAGAAAAAGATATCTTATCTTACACACCTTATCTATGATAGACTGCATGTGGGACTTGTGAGATTGATCTCCATATAACAGAGAAGACCACTGGTCAGGTGCGATGCGCAGTCCACCCTCCATGGCGATCTGAACTATCTGAGAGTCGTGCTCGCGCCGCAGAGCCTCGTAAGTACGGAACTCCTCTTTCAGCTGCATTAGGGATGAGTCCTCGTCACGTTTGGTCACCTAGGTAGCAACAGAGAACGAAAGAAAGCGTAAGGCGACTTTTTTCCCCACTCTGTTTCCTCTTCCTTTACAGGGATCTCTTTAATTGTGTCTTTCACAACATTTTCATGACTGAAAAGCAAAACCGGGCCCTATTGTGGAGCAGTACAACATGACATAAACTATATGACACAAAAGTTCTTCTGGGTCTCAGTCCGGGGCATACCTTGAAGCAGGAGGCCCTGTAAAGGAGCTGCACCACGTGGCCAATGCTGGTCTTAGAGGCCTGCGGGAAGCGTGGCTCGAGCCTTTGGACTACAAATAGAACCAACACCTTCCTGGACAAAGCAGAGCCATCCTCCAGAGCAAGGAGGACCAACTTTAGAGCTTCCTCCTGCATGGCTAGGGGAGAAAATAACATAAAAACCATGAGTAACAGTTGAATGCCTAAGCGAGTTTTTACAGAGAATGTACGTACTTCTTCCTCTAAAAATGTTAATTGTGCTTTTCCTATTTGTAGGTGATGGAAAACCTACCTGGCCCTAGAAACTGACATCCTCTTGCACGCACAGCAGCCCACAGATTGGAAGAGAGCTGCTGTGGATTCTGGTGCTGCAAGATGAGTTCGGTGACGGTTCTCTCCCCCAGAGAGCGGGCTGCCCTCATGGCTCTAACGCGGCCCTCCTCCTCCACCAGCTGGCAGTGGACCAGAGTTACCAGTTTCCTCTGCATGGGTCGGCTCAGCATGCTCTGGGCTGTGCTGCTCAGGCCCACACCTGGTGAGAGATTAGACAACTGGTAAACTGAGGGGAACATACACTCAATTAATATTCCTCTTTTATAATTCATCCTTTGCAAGCAATGTTATAGGCATGTTTTTAAGCAACAGAATCAGGTTGTGTTGTGTATGTGTACCTCTGGTGTTGCTGAGGGGCTTGAGGTAGAGGGCCAGCTCCTCCACACACTGCCGGGCCTCCTCATAATGCTGCGAGTCCTCTGGACTGGTAATCAAGGCGACTGGCTGAACCTTAGGAACCTGAAGCAAGACACACAGAGGGGGAGAAATTAGCCAAAAGCCACCATGATAGGTGATGTCTTTTAGTACAGTTTTAAATAATGATCCAATTATTTTTAAAATACCAATGCGTGTACATGCAGGTAGATTTTGGTAGAAAAAGGGCCATAAGGAAATGTTATGGTAAAATATTTTAAACTTGCACAGGCATTTTGTTTTATCGACCAACTCGGAGCAGCACACCCTACCTACTGAAACATAAATAAATAAAACTTAATGTGTACTGATTCTTCAAGTACATTGGTAACCATACTGACATTATGGTCAAAACAAGGAAATAACTGACCACATGAATAATATTTAACATTTTAAGAATCACTGTATTGTCCTGCTCTATTCTCTCTACGCTGTGGCTTGTTGAACTGCTTGTTTCCCAGTTGACAATGCTAACAAACATAATTTTTAAAAGAGCAATGATACCGGAGGGAGAGCATTTCTCATCATGTTTGTATTTTCCTGCTCAGGCTGCTATACGGTATCACACTTTGTAGCAAGGCAAGCACAATTTACCAGATTTGCAATGCATGTGCATTTTTTAGGAAACCAAAGACAACATTTGAAAAACTTAACTAACAATCTTTACATTTGACCTTTTGTTTTTTTACTGACCAAACCAACCTGAAGCTCTCAGGAATTGTATTTGATAAATGAGGTTATTGACATGAACAACAAAACGTAAATAACTATTATAACAATTTTTTTATTTTTAAGTTATATTTTTTGATTGGGTACTATAATGTAGGACCACATAGATGCAAGGCACTAAGCTAAGAGACAAGACACCTCCAGCAGCTATATCAGACACATAACCGGCTCATGGTTGACGCACTGACATTATCCATTATTAAACAGTGTATACCAGGTAACTTTGCCAACAAAAGCCAAACACCATTAAATGTTTCTCACCCCGTTGGTTAAAAAACCACCACAGAAAAATAAAGCTTCAACTATTGTGCCAGCACTCAGTAAACCGACATAATTAAAGCAATTGCTCAATGGCTGGTGTATGACTCATAAAGGAATCTCCAAGCTATGAGCATCATGTAATAGCCTGTGTGTAGCACTCTAATGCAATCCATACGCAAATATTGCAAAAACATAATATATTCAGGATAGATTTGGTATCTTAAACTGTTAAAACATCACTGCTGTTATTTTCATCAAAAGCTAGCTGCAACAATGTCCCGGCAGACTGTTTAAATATCAACACAACACAACATCTTTGTCCCAAATTGCCAAACAAGTGTGGAAATATAAAAACTCTTACCTGGCCTCCCACCAGCTGCAGCAGGGCTGTGTTGACAGGTAGCTGCTCGATGTCTGTGCTGATGGCCGTCTGGTCAAAGGGACAGGCCTTACGGTGCAACTTGTTCAGGCACATCTTGCAGACAGTATGTCCACAGCCCAAGCTGATGGGCCGACGAACAGTCTCCTCAAATGTCTGTGTGCAGATTGGGCACAGCAGGAACTCCGTCCATTGTGGTGCTTGCACTGGCATGGTTATATGTTGATGGGACGAGTGTGTAAATGTGTGTAAGCTTTAACACAGAGAAAAACAATCTAATAATAATATATATATGGAAGATTCCACTGGAATCAAGATTTTTCTTTCGAACTCAATTATTCTTAAATGTCCTCACACATTGTGGATTTTAGATCACATCGCACGATGAATACTGTAAAAGAGAGAGAGAAAGATAATTAGAAGTGTGCAAACATCCCCTGATTTTGACAAATGTGCATACAATTCAAAATCACGTCGATTACTCTTTTTTAATTTGTAATTATCCAACAGTGCAATAACAAAGCATGGTTGTATTTTGTACGAGTGCACATGTAGTTAAGAAATGCATTAAACAGGCAGTGAAAATGGTATTATACTATATTAAACAAAGGAAAATATATCATCAAAACAATATTTGCCTTAGATAATTGTTACTGCCGGTATGTGGTGTTCAGTCGTAACACAAAACAAACAAAAAATAGGAGGGGCAGCACATATTTGTAAGATACAGAGTAAACTACCGGCGGAGAAGGATCAAAACAACTGCTGTTTGGCCTACTAAGAAGAGCTGGTAACCACTGTGACTGTGGACAAAGGGTCCTGAAGAGGCTAACAACCAAGTCCCTCTGCGCTATATAACTTGTTATAAAGCTATCGTCTGCTATTAGAGTTGTAAAACATATTGCAACCAATAGTTTTAATTTTGCTAAACTAGTTTTCTATTGTGGCTGTAATTAGGTAAATGTTTAGTTATACACACATTGAAATGTATCTGATACGAGGGATACGTTAGCTAGCTAATTGTAGGTAACGTTAGCTCAGTGTTAGCATGCTAAGCTATGGGTGGCTAGTTGGCTAGGCTTGCTAGCAAGTAAACGTCGTCCGATTAAAACATAGAAAACGTAATACTCTAAAATCTATCATTGGTTGGTCATGTGTCAACGTAATTATAAGAAATGTAGATGTGACAAGGAATCAATTGCACAGCTCAGAACATGAGTTACTATCTTGTGTGTTGGTCAAGGAAACGATAGCTATGGCAGAACCAGTGACACTGGAAAGTGTAGCCATTGGATTTGCAACAGCGAGATTATGTAACGGTAGCATACAAAACCAATTTGCCTTGGAAATATGTTTAGTTTAACCAGACACGCTTATTTTATTGAGTTCAGAATGTTCATACTCATTGTGGATTGTGTTTCCATCCCGTTTTCAACAACGGCTAACCCAAGTAACAGCCTAGCGAACAAACCATAACGTTACTCCTCCCTCTGATAGCGGTTAGCACGTTAGCTAGCTACCATCCGCGGTAGCAACAACTATCCATAGCTATGCGTCATAAATGTGACTAAAACAAAACATGCGGCTTCTAGTATTAGATTATTACTGGACAAATCCATAGTCATCGTCAAAACTACTCACTCATTCCAAAAGACTTGGAAGATTTTCATCTTTCTTTAGGAAATTGTTGCGATATTTTCTTGCCATGTCGACTGTGCAGCTTAGCTGCTGCCGAGGTTTGGGGAGGAGGGTGTCAACTCGACAACAGACTCGCTAGCCGGTTACAGCTAGCTGGGCAAGATGTGTGTGTGCGTGTGCCTGTGTGTGCTTGCGAGTATGTGATGATAGCGCCCTCTGTTGACATCTGTCCGCATGCACAGCCACAACAGAAAACTGAGCAGCATTTGCCCGAGTTTGATCACATCTAGGGATTCTGACAACTGGCAAGTAGAACGTTGTTCCAATTAGGTCGACTGTGCACGAGTGCAACGTGTGTGTGTATGCAGAAGCGTCTTTGCAAACAGAGAGAGAGAGAGAGAGCTGGAATGAACCAAGATAGAGAGAGGGAACAGCTGGATCGACAGATAAGAATCAGCCCGCAGTTGTTTTTACGAATCAAAATCAGTCTGTATACTAAAACAACACATCCTAGCATTTCAAAACATTAAAAATATCAATCTCGTTTAGCCTCAAGCCCATTAAGCCATTTTAGGTTTATTTTCCGTGCTTTTCATTGGTTTATTACTGTGTGCAGGGAGTCGGCGAGTGTTCTAAATACTTATGCAACAGAGAGCTTCACTCGGCATCGGGTTCGCGAGGCAAGGACGAAATTAAAGCAGGCATTTTTTGTATTCCATTTTTGTCTAATCCCACTGATTTCTGATGGGATTACAGGACCAATCATGATTGAGGAGCCGCTGACTCGCCTGCCTGGAGCAGTTTAGACAGTCAGTCAAAGCACAGCACTCGGATCTGTAGAAGCACCGAGAGATGGTGTTTGTTTTCTCGTGCTTTCTGGAAGAAAGTTGCCCGTCTTCTCGTTATATTGGCGACGGACTTGAGGAGGCGCGCTGCAATATCTGCACGGTTGGCGAAGTTTTTTTATTTTAGAAATAATGGATGCCTAACTTACATTTGGCCTATGCATCAGCATGGTAGCCTAACTTTTCTCGTGATGGTCAACGCTGGAACTGTGTTTTAAAGGACACCACCTTTACTAAACATCCAGGTACAATGGTCGATGTTATTTATGTAACTTAATGTAGTTTAAGTGATTGTCTTTGAAGCTCATCATTTTTGTATTTTTATTAGCAATGTGTTATTTATATGATCTACATAATATGACACATCATTTTTAAATATGTACATTTCTCCAACTTCTGAATAAATAATAATTAATGATTCTCAATGCATAAAGGTAACTTATTTAAAGAGAATAATATTTTTCATGATTTATTGTTGATTTTGCCTGACAGTAAACATTAATAAATTGTTTATTCGTGCAGGGGCTCAGTTGCAGGCAGCAGTTGCTTATTTTCATTCTAAAGGATTATCCTGTGCACTGCAAAGTAATCAGTGGATAAGGCAACATCACTGAATCCACTTTACATATCTCCTCACCACACAGCCAGATAGAAAGTTGGTGGTAACAGAGATGTTGACTGGATGATACAGGCATGTTTTTGTCAGCTTGTGTACACAAAATGTCTTTATTTTATTTATAGGAACTGTCTGAACTTTTCAGTGCATGACCGGCCAATGGAGGGAGAGAAGGTGGTCGACAAAATCGAATCCAAACCCAGTTCTCCTTTACCTACCGGGATTCCCATTAATTGGGGACTCATCACTGTCCCAGAACCTGTGTTCCTACCATCCTCCTTGAGCCCCCATCTTCCTTCTCCTCAGAGTTCGGCTGTGCACGCACTACAGACCAAGGTGAAGACCCTCACACAGAGAAGGACAAGAGGGAGAGATCGAGAGAAAGAAAGAGAAAGGTTGGACACAGAGTTCTTAGTGAGCAGTCCAGCTTGTCAGATTTCATCCGAAGTCCTTCTCAGGCAGAGGCCCAGAGCAAAGGGTCCGATATCTCTGCCTGCCCCTTCCTGGCGACCAGGCACTGCGAAGAACCTGAGCAGTAGTGATGAAGAGGAGGAGGTAGAGGTGCAAGTCAGTTTGGAAATCCACAGCCCTCCATCTGAAGCACGAAGACAGCAGTTGATCCAGGAGAAAGAGGAAACTGAAGAAGAAGGGGGAGAAAAAAATGTGGAGCAGGTCAGTTTGCTGACAGGCCAGCTATGTGGGCTCGGGGAGGGCACCAGTCTAGAAAGTCTTCTGTCTGATAACTCATGCAGCAGTAAGGAGGAGGAGCCCCCCCCTTCTCCTCCTCCACCTGTGCTCTCCTCCTCTCCTGCCACCACCTCTGCTTCTTCAACATCCACATCAACCAGACACTGGGCACCTCCCAAGGGCTTCTGGAGAGTGGCCCGTCCTGAAACATTGCTTCTAAATGGTGTGACCACTGACATCACAACCTCCACTTTACCTTTAATCGACCACACTCAGACAGAAAAGACAGAACAAGTGGCAGAGCCTGAGAGGCAGTCTAAACCAGTGGAATCAGGCTCCAGGATCGATGCAGCGAGTGCGGTGGACGACAGTGATGCTTCCTCAGAATTCAAACACTCGGACAGCATTGAGTGCTACCTGGACAGGTGTGAGCAGAAGGAGTTAGATGATGGGTACTTGGCCAAAGGACTGTGCAGTTCAGACAGCTGGGAGAGCACGTCTTCACAAAGTGGGATTCTCTCTGCTGATGAGACATTGAAGGTGAAGCAGAGAGCGTATGTAAAGTTAAGGGAGAGACAACAAAACTACAAGGAGGACAGAGAGCAGAGCGACGGAGAAAGCGTAGACTGTTATGGAGACACAACATGCAGAATGGATTGTAAAGGTAGGTGTCTTGAGGAGAATGGCATGTAATAATGTCATTATAAAACGTTTGTGAATGATAATACTTGACACATGGGTTTGACAAACACAGATGAGATCTGAGGTGGTTTTGTTTACAGCTTGTTGATGGAAGGATTGATTAGAAAGTGTTTGACAGTGTCGTAAAGAATGACATTAGACTGTTGGTTTTAATAAAAATGCATTATATTATTTTCTGTTAGGTATAGAAAAAAGACAAAACCGGCCCACTGGGATATTGGTATACTTAAGACAGCAATCCCCAAAGGTTATGTGAAGACTTCAGATTGTTCTTTTGAAAACAAATGACCCAGTTATGGTTTTATTAAAAAATGTTGCTTCATTGTTTTTGTACAGTGTAGTCAATGTTGTTAGCTGGTGAGCTGGTCTCATGCTATTACACGTGGAAACAGGACATTCCGAGAAGTGTCTCAGAAGTAACATTTCCCCCAAAAACATTATACAGCGTTTTTAATAATATGAGAATTTAGTCTGCTTAAAATACATGACAACTTTAAAAAACAGTTCAGCGTTCCATATACAAGCCTGTGTCTGTCTAGCGATGATGTTGTTTGGAAAGGCAGTATTTAACCTGGCTGATTCCCAGTGTTGAACAGATGTCAAATGTGCAGATGTGCATAAGCGTGTTGCTATTATTAGCAGTAAGAGCGTGGGGGAAGTGTCCCAGCTTTTGTATCGCAGTCTGTGTGCTAATGGGTGTCTTTGTAGTCATGTAAGGGGACAAATTATGTATTTGGTTTTTTATTTGTTTCTGTTAAGGTATGTTATATGTGTCTAGCAGGTTGTCAATACAACAACAGTCAGTGCAATCTACTGTATACGAGTAAATCCATGATGATCAGTTGTTTTTCCCAATCAGCCCTTATCTGTCTCTCAGTAGTTACGTAACTTGGTTTTTTCTTGACTTACATTAAGGATCAGTCACTGATAACCTATGAGTTGGCGTCTCAGTTTACTTTATTTATATGTATAGTGCACAGTGGCGTTTTTATATGTACTAAAGTGGTGGGGTACGAACAACTTAGATGTTTATATAAGCTTCTGGTGCTTTTTTAAACACGTAAACAAATAGCTGTAGGCAGGGCCGGCCCTGACCAACTTGCTGCCCTAGGCAAGATTTTAGCTAGCTACAATTGCACACTAAAACCA